ATTCGACGAACCGGTTCTACCGAACTGGTGCGAACTGGTAGGAACCCACCTCTGGAGTCAAGCTATTCTCCAAGGCACCTGAGGGTAGAACAAGAAGCAATGGGTGGAAACTAATCAAGGAGAGAAGCAACCTAGAACTAAGGAGAAATTTCCGGACATTTAGAACAATTGATCAGTGGAACAACTTGCCTCCAGAAGTTGTAAATACCTCCAACACTGGAAATTTTTAAGACATTGGACATCCATTTGTCTGAAGTGGTGTAGGGTTTCCTGCCTGAGCAGGGGGTTGGACTAGAAGGCCTCCAAGGTCCCTTTCCGACTCTGGTATTCTGCTGAAGCTGTTGATCTAAAAAAAAAATAATCTATGCCACTCCTGGGTTATGAAAGGAGTGATAACGGTTTAAAATTTAGATGTCGTAAGTGGTCATGTGGGACTTTTTAGAGATACTTCACGGTGGTCTGTTTTGAACGGAGAGGAGATAAAATAGGAAATTATAGGGGATACGGGATTATTACATATCATATGGTAAGGGGCCATAGGAAATGGAGTTGTAAACAGTAAAGGGTATTATTTAATCTCTGGATTAAAGGTTTCATTTTAAAAGCAGGAAGCACCCAGTGAAGGTGATTTGAATTTAGTTCCCTCTTTAAATCTCTTTTTAGCACATCTTTTTTTGGGAGCAAAGTGAAAGCCGCTAGCTTTTTTTGCAATATCATGCCCCAGCGTAACATTCACAGGTGTGGAAGCCACCAGCTGTTGGACAGCTACCACAACGGGCAACCTTGTGTTGCCTGAACCCATTTCAAGGTGAAGAAAATCCTAAATTAACCGAGGCTTTTTCTCATTCCTTCCTTTCACAAAGAGTAGCCAATTCATTTTCTTGGTTGATTTCGCATCTCTGACCTAGACATAGGAAGCACAGGTTCCCTGCTCAGCTGCCCATTTGATGTGGCTTTCCCAAAGGTGTTTTTTCAAGAGGCAACTGGACTTCCTTTGTTTTTCCTTGAAGACGTTTTGGTTCCCATCCAAGAAGCTTCTTCAGTTCTGGCTGAATGGCCGGGAATAGGAGGATTTANGTCCTTTGCATCCTTTGACAGGGTCGTTGAAGCACTTGGAGGTTTATCTCTGTCCTCAGTATTTCTCCTGGTTCCTGAAGTCTGCAATTTTCTCCCCCGGGAAATCCATTCCACACCAGTCAAAGGGTGTCCATCCCAAATTGTGTAGCTAAAAAAAGGATGGTGGGCAAGCGTGTTTACATCCCTTTGTGCCTGGTGGTGGCTGAGATTAGCTCCGGCTAAGCAGACGAAGAGATGCTGTGGGACGGAATTGGCTGAGTTTCTTCTTCTTCCTCCTGCATCTCTGAAGCATCTCGGGAATTGCTTGCCGTACGGCGAGAGCAAGCTGGTCACATGAGTCTGAATTTTCATTTTAGTTCATTAGTCAGCCATTTTGGTCAACACCCTCTTTAACTGCGCACAATCCAATCCTATTATCTTTCTGAATCTGGGTTGATCGGAAGGGGGCAAGAGAGAGAGAGAGAGAAAGAAAGAAAGAAAGAGAGAGCAGCTGTCGATCTTCGTGGATCCTGGATACCTCTTCTTCCCTTTGTGGTTATTGTTGTTTTTGTTGTTGTTGTTGTTTGTGTCATTTTTTAAAAAAGACAAAGCTTCTTCTGAGACGGCTAAGAGGTCTGGCGTTTATTTATTTTTCCTGCTCTCCCGATGCAGAGGCCGTGCGCGAAAGGGTTATTTCAGGAATAATAGCTCCTAGCCACATCGGGAGTGCGTGCACGGCCGTGCGGCTTTGCAGAAGAAAACCGGAGGAAGAAGGAAAACAGCTGAGGAGGGGGTCTCTTTTCCCACCCTCGCCCCTTCCCCTTGGCCTCGCTTTCCTCAAAGTAGTGCATTGTCTGATCTACGGCAAATCTTTCCCAGCTATTGAATTCATCTTGTCCCTTCGAGGGGAAGGTGGTTTTCTTTTTTTCTTCCCCCTCTTCCCCCTTCTCCTTTGTATGGTTTTGTTCTATTTTTGCCTGGTTTTGTTTTTTTTTTAAAAATTCAATTGTTATATCAGCTGAGTCATCATGTCCGCTCTCACGCCTCAAAGCGATACGCCGACTCCCACCACAGACAAGATCACCCAGGCTGCCATGGAAACCATCTATCTGTGCAAATTCCGGGTGTCGATGGATGGAGAATGGCTCTGTTTGAGAGAACTGGACGACATCTCCCTTACGCCCGACCCCGAGCCGAGCCAAGAAGGTATGGTTGGGCCCCCAGCGGACAGGCAACAACCTATGTGGTTCTTGCAGTCCCAAGCAGGGATGTGTGCATTTCCCACCATCAAACGTAGCCCTTTTATTATACATAGAGAATAACCTTATTCCATTTGAATGTGGTCCATGCCACGGACTCTCATTTTTTTTTAAAAAAAGCAGCTTATTATTTGTGGGAAACAGAAAAGGTGGTTAACAGCGAAGGTCAACAGCCGGGAAAAATGGTTGCCTTCCCTGGGATTACTCTGTTTTTCTAGACACCTGCGCTCTTCGAAGCAAGATCTAGCAAAATAGCTTTTCCTTCTCTTCTGCACTAGAAGGAAAATTCATCTCGACATCTAAATGTGGAATCTCAGCCGCCTAAACTACTATAATTATTATTTTAGCAAAAGGGGTTAATTTTTTTGGTAGAGGACAATGGCCCAAAACAATGGGGTTAGGTGCAATAATGTCATGGCATTATTAATTAATGTGATGTAATGGTGTTAGCGGTGATAATGAAGTGAGGGAACTGGAGGCTAAGACAAAAGAATGGTTGCAGGAACTGGGTATGTCTAGTTTAACAAAAAGGAGGACTAGGTTAGTGTGACATGATAAGCAGTCTTCCAATATCTCAGGGGCTGCCACAAAGAAGAGGGAGTCAAGCTATTCTCCAAGGCACCTGAGGGTAGAACAAGAAGCAATGGGTGGAGGAGGAGTATCTTATAGACTGTTTTAGATCACCATTGAATGTTTATCCATTAACATAAATTTACTATGATACTAATAGAGAAATAATAACCATAACTAGGATAAATAACCAGGCCATAGAAATGCTAATGTATATTTTGGGTGATTGTCAAGTAGAAATGTTAATATCT